ATGGATTCATCTCTGAAATTAAGTAAGAATGATAATTCACCTGCTCTTGATAATCCATCTGAATTCAGAAGGCTTGTAGGTAGATTATTATATCTTACTATCAGCAGGCCAAACATAGCATACTCTGTTCAATCTTTAAGCCAATATATGTCACAACCTACTGCACAACATCTTCACTCAGCACAAAGAGTGTTAAGGTATGTCAAGGGCACTATTGGACAAGGTATACTCTTTTCTAAATCTTCTAAATTACAGCTTACAGCATATTGTGACAGTGACTGGGCTTCTTGCATTGATACTAGAAAAAGTGTGACTGGATATTTGATATTTCTTGGTGACTCACTTATATCTTGGAAATCAAAGAAACAACCAACTATAAGTAGATCATCTGCAGAGGCTGAATATAGAGCCCTAGCATACACATCATGTGAAATACAATGGCTATCTTCTCTTTGTTCTGAATTACAGTTGTCACTTACTACACCTGTTTGCCTTTTTACAGATAGTAGTTCAGCTATTGCTATGGCCTCTAATCCTGTTTTCCATGAAAAAACAAAGCACATCGAGCTGGATTGCCACTTAATAAGAGAGAAGATAGCTCAAAGGCTCATCCAACTTAAGCACATTCCTACCAAATCCCAACTAGCAGACTTCTTGACAAAAGCTCTTCCGGGCCCTCTGTTCAAGTCTCTCCTCTCCAAGTTGAGCATGCCTAATATCCATGCTCCACTTGAGGGGAGGTAATAGAATAGTTGTACATAGAGCTTTCATTATTGTACTACACTATTAGTTATTTCTGTATTGTAAAAGTGTTATTTGCTATTTAACACTTTATGTTTAGCATAGTAGTATATAAGGGCAGAAACCCTAATATCCCAAACACTTTTCACTTCATCTTCCTCAGATAATACAATCGTTTGGTTTTTCTCTTTGTGTTCTATACACTTTACTGTTCAAATTCCTCTAATAAAGAGCAGCATATAAAGTGATATTAGTATTTTCATACACACATACAAGAAATATGATATTAGGATATTAAGTAATATGGTATTCATACACACATACAAGAAACTGAAAGAGATGGTAGAACAAACATATTGTGACCTTTCATTTGATAATTAGAAGTTGGAATTGATCTGTTTTCCGCTTGCACATCAGCACATGGAGAGGCGTGGAACAAAGCCCCGGGCCTATGTCACTAGTCATACAAAGACAACACCTAAACAATGATAGGACATGGTATCATTTGATGAAAAATATTATTTAACACAAAATTTGATACAAGATGTTCAAAATCATGGAACCAATAAATACTATTAAAATTTGTGCATTAATGTAGAATGTTTATGCCTAGTAGTGTTTGGTGATTCTATATGTAGAATTTTGATGCTGTTTAATCTTATGTGTCATTTTATGAATGATAGTGTTTTTTAATCATATGCGTCAATTTTAGGGTGATTTGAAGTAGTTCATATATAGATTGGATTTTGTATTAAAATTGTATAACAATTAACTAACTTAAAATTATAAATATATATATATATATATATATATATATATATATATATATATATATAAGTCAATAAATTTTGTCTTTGTTATAATTTTTTATGTATAATATATCAAATCAATCATTTTTTGAATTAAAAAAATTATTGTAATATAAGATGAAAAAATCATACAAGTAAAAGTTCCATTTTAAATAATTGATATACAAATACTGCTCAGCAACAGTCAGACGAGTGGGAAATGTTGGGCTATGAAAAAAACTTTTGGTAGACAAATCCAAAATTTATTTATAGCTAGAAATTATAAATCGAAACTTCTCGTTTATATTTTTTCATTTAAGAATTTCAGTACAAATTTTTTTAACTCATTTGTATAATTATCGGGTGTTCTACGAGTTAACTTTTATATAAATATATGGTTGGATGCTACATAGCATTTTACATTTTATTATTATTTTTTCAGTATTTTTAAATACTGAGCTTGTAGTTGTAAGGCTTGTTTAAAAAGGTAGTACTTATGGATACAAAATTTGATACTAATCAGATGTGGGATTGAGTTTGCACACCCTACAAATCGACAAGAAAAAAAGTAGGCGCACATGTGTATAAAAAAAAAACTCGGTTTAAAATTTTTAATACTAGTCAAGATAATCGATTTCATTATATTGCTTCAAGAAGACTTGCAAGACGAGTTTTTCAATGAGATAGATTTTATCAAATTCCAACGACTGGATTCAGGTTAGTAACCAAAAAAAAAAACTAAATATTTATCTATTTTATTGATCAGAATCCAACCGTTATTTTATTATTATTTTTTTTAAGATGCACCTCTTCAAACACGTCATTCCACAAGTATTCAACTGACATATCTCAATAGAAAATATTGATTACTGAAAATTTTAGACTTAAATTTTTCTATGCATGCATCGGCCTGCCTTTTCAGTTATCGATTACCGTCGAATCAATTTCTAAATAACTTATTTTGTTAGTCTATCTTAAGGCTCCGATCCAAAACCAAGAGTCCTAAATTAGCTTTGAATATTGATTTTAAAATTCATCGTCAATATCTTTAAGAGATACTAGTACAACACCCGTGTATTACACGAGTGCTTGTTAATTTTTTTTTTCTTAAAATCTAAAATTAATGAGAAAAAGTAGTTTGAAAATTTAAATACCTTTTATAAGAATATATATATTATTATATATTTATTATGACACTTTTTATTTGTGTAACTTACTTGTGTTATATTATACTAATTTTTTTAACTTACAATATATAACTACATTACATATAAATATATCAATTGAGAAATAATTTTATTTTTCTAATTGAATTTTAATAAATATTATTATTTTTTATTATTATAAAGATAAATATAATTTATTTATTTCACATATACAATATGAATGTCAAATCGAAGATCATCAAAAGATGATTAATTTGATATATTATATATATGTAAAACCGATAAGAAATACAAAAGTTATCTACTTTTAAAATACATATATAATGCAATAGCTTATTGAAGGAAACAAATCAAAATTCAGGGATATATTAGTCACTTAGTACCTGTAAAATTACAAATAATTAAAGGGTTATATTAGTAAAAGTGATATTAAAATACCTAAGTTAACTAAATAATATTTATGGAATACCCGAACCTAGATTATTAATTATTAATATTAATATATCAATATTATTTATCCAAACCTAATTACGAAGCATGATTCTTCGCTAAATAGGATTCCGAAGCACCAGAAGCAGTCACGTAGGCTCAGCGAATTCGGCTCAGCGAATTCGAGAATTATATATAGGGAAGATTTTATTAAGATAAAAAAAAAGGAGGATACTTCCATTAAAATAAAATAAAATTCCTTATTAAAAATCGAGGATACATTCATTAAAATAAAATTCCTTATCTTTTTTTTCTTTTTACTTCACTCGAGTTTAACAGATATTCGATAAAATTAGAACGAAAAAGATTAACATGACCCTGCGCAAGGATGACACGCTTAAAACGGAGAACACGGCTCTCGTTTTAGTCGCCGGTAATCACTCCGAGCCTGCTCAGTATTTGCCACGTGTCGCTCATCACCATTCCATTAGTCAGCAAAAAAAATTGTCCAACTCCAATCATCAATAACCACCCCCACCCCCACCCCACCCCCGCATCAATCAATCATGAAATTCCACATTCTCACACACAACACACACTAGCTATGGCAATCTCTCTCTTCCTCTCGATTCCTCCCAAACCCCCGTTTCCTTGATCCAATTACTGCAGAAACCCTAGCTTCCCTCGCCATGGCGATAGTCACCGGCGACAGGTACCTGGAATCACTCGTCAAATTCGTCGAAAATCAGGCTGACAAGCTGATCGAAGGGACGTTAGTGTTGAAATTGAATCCCGTGGGTCTGCGGTATGTGCAGTCCAGGCTGGAGGCGCTGGCGGAGCTGGAGAGTCTCTTGGTCGGAGCTCCGGTGGACTATCTGCGGGCGTACGTTTCCGATTTGGGCGATCACCGCGCGCTCGAACAGTTGCGGAGGATTCTCCGCCTGCTCCCGTCGTTGAAGGTGGTCTCGGTGGTTCCGCCGCTGAGGAGGGACCCGACGCCATTGTATTTGCGGCCTTTTACGAGGTTGAAGGCTCTGGAACTCCGTGGATGTGATCTGTCGACATCTACGGCCAATGGTTTGCTTGAGTTGAGGTTCACACTTGAGAAGTTGATATGCCATAACTCAACTGTGAGTACAATTTCTCATTTTGAAATTGGGAATTGTTCTTTGTGCTTGCACCCGTGATCTGTTTGGGTGTGGTTTAGGTGTTGGAGAATTTGGTTTTGGTTTTGGTTTGTGAGGTGATTGGTTCAAGTAGTGTATGAAACTTAGGAGATGGAAGTTCATGTGGAAAAATGGTTATTTACCTTGTGATTGATAGTTATGGGTTAAAATGCTAGATAAGCCATGATCTTTTGTGAGCATAACTGTTTAATGTTTGATTTCAACTATGTCTTTTTTTTTTTTTCTCTGACTTTCCTATGGGAGAAGGCGTAATAAGTAAGCTGAAGAATATTTCTGAATCAAGAATGGTTCTGGAAATTTTGTCGATGGTGTTTATGTCTTCCTTTTAATTTGACCAAAGACTTGATAACTATGTGCAGCTCTACTGCTTGATCTAATCTATTACTGAGCTTTGGTTTTTGTTCGTGATGATTGGCTTAGGATGCACTGAGGCATATATTTGCGAGTAGAATTGCGGATATAAGGGATTCACCACAGTGGAATCGGTTATCCTTTGTTTCATGCGCATGTAATAGCTTGGTTCTCATGGATGAGTCTTTGCGGCTTCTTCCTGCGGTTGAAACTCTTGACCTGAGTAGGAACAAGTTTGCAAAGGTGGATAACCTCAGGAAGTGCACGAAATTGAAGCATGTGGACTTGGGATTTAATAATTTGAGAAGTATCACATCATTTGGGGAGGTACGCATGTCTACAACCTTATTTTAAGTGAAGACGATTCTTGTGCTGTTCAGCTAAATTCAAGCCTTTTCTTTTCATGGTTACTTTCTCACACTTCTGCTCAATCATCAAGGCATACCACAATAAAGATTCTAGTGACAAGTCTATCTAAACAGATATATGCTTGATGAATATTATTACTGTAATTATTCATGTGTTAATAATTGGTTGCTATTCTGCCTATAGACTTGTATCCCATTTGCTATTTGATTATATGAATGATCAATGAATGTAACTTTCTTCTTGCTCTCTCAGAGTCCACGCTCGAGCTTGCTCTCTCAGAGTCCACGCTCGAGCTTGCTCTCTCAGAGTCCACGCTCGAGCGTGAAGACAAATATTTGTAGTTCACATTGATTTGAAGTTTTGAAGAGTACCCTATTCATTAAGCTGACAATAAGGATTATTATTGAATCATGACTGATTAGATTTTTTTTCTCATTGTACTTAATAACAAATTATTTACTACCAAATAAAGATAGAACTAGCTTCTAAGTAAATCTATGCAACTTATTTGCAAGTTTGTTATATAATTGATGTGACCTTAAAAAGTTTCTAGAGGTTCTAGTAATGTTTTAAAATAAGTACAATTCTATAGACAAACACTAGAATCAATAATTCGGATTCATGCCTACCACACCCATCTTTAAGTCTTCTTCAATCATATATGATATATTTATATCTCTTTCCGACTATTCTTAGGAGAATTTAGTGTTTATGGTAAACTAAAATTAAGAGATTTTTTTTTTAGATTTCATATATGGATATAATGGAAAAAGTAGTCTAATACGACAAAAAATTAGCAACAAAAAGTCCAACCAATAACAACATTTGAAACTAATAAGAGGGTGTATTTTAGTAAGAATGACTGATTCTAATGTATAATGACTTTATGGAAGTTGATACCCAATATTAATTGATGGACTAACAACATAAAAATATTGATTGAAGAATGGAGAAACTGGTGGACAAATTTAAGGATAGTTGTTTGATTGTTTGAAAATTAGTTTGTTACCATTTTTCCTTGTCTGAAAAATTAGCAGTTGATGGAAACTGAAAGAATATGCATATAATAGTCAAATTGCAAGTTTAGCCATTCAAATATGCTAGGAGGTAGTAATAATCTTAATTCTAAAATCTGTCAAAAGCACTCGTTTTCTCAAGTCTGCAGCTTAATCTTGATACTCCATTTCCACTAAAGCATGGCTTGGGAAATTACTTCTTTCAGTAAATTAACTGAATTATATTCTTGTCAAGTTAAAGTTTCAAATAACCCTATCTACTCCATTATTCGAACTTTGGAATACCAAACAAATTCATGAAACTTTAGTATAAAGCCGTAATATATCAATCCAAATAATTTTGAGTTGATTTATTTCTTCTGCAGACATTTTGAGTTGATTTTAGCAGAACTATGTGACAGGGACAACACTTACCTATCCAGTAAATTTAGTATTTTTGTTAATCGTTGATATTTGCAGGTCTCCTGTCAGATTGTAAAGCTTGTGCTGAGGAACAACGCATTAACTTCATTGCATGGTCTTGAAAATTTAAAGTCACTTCAAGGTGTTGATCTGTCCTACAATGTAATATCAAACTTTTCAGAAATAGAGATGGTTGCTGGTCTTCCTTCTCTCGTTAACTTGTGGTTAGAAGGAAATCCTATTTGCTATGCTAGATGGTTCCGTGCTCAAGTATTCAGCCTTTTTTCTCATCCGGAGCAAGTAAGACAACATTTATAAGATTTTTTTCTCCCAGATAATTGATGAGATAATTGATGAACTGTGATATCTATAGAACTGTTTTTACTATATTTTGTTAAAATTTGCTTCCACCTAGTTTAAACTTATTTGGTTTGCATATACGTTTAATTCAAATGTGATCTAGCTCAAACTGGACGAGAAAAATATCTCAGTTTGTGAGTTTTGGAAGCGGCAAATCATTGTTGCAAGCAGGAAGAAGCAGCCTGCAAGCTTTGGATTCTATATACCGCTACAAGATGCTGATGTGGAAGAAAGTATAAACAAAAGAAAGGTAGGGAAATCTTTTGGTGGTGGGAAATCCTTAATTTTGTGATTATGGTTTTTGAACTTTTTAACAAATTTACCAGTTACTTTTGATGGTGATATACAGAAGCGCATTTCTCGCCTTGTCAGTATTGAGAATGACAACCAGAGCTTATTATGCTCCGACCATGATTCAGTGTCATGTGATAACGAGTTCCATAGTAAAGATGAGAATGCCAATACAAATGAAGCAGCGGAAATAGAAGATTTGATGAAAAAGATTGAGTTTATGAAGGACCATTCTGTTCTATGGTTGCAGGAATTTAAAGAATGGATGAATCAAGCATCTGAAAATTCTGTTGATGGTAGTAAATGGAATGCCGTCTTATACAGTGATGAAGAAATGCGTTTGAAGAGTGAGATAAAAGATGAAGAACTTGGTGAGACTTCAAGATGTGTCTTCGACTCTTTTCAGCTTTCTGAAGATGAAAGTAGCACAATCGTTCTAGAATCTGGGACCTCTTTTGCGGATGCATCCACTGTTGCCAGTGCCCAAAGGTACTTCGATCAAATTGGTGAAGCAGCTTCAAGACTTTTCATGGGCATTGCCGCAGGGGACCAGTCTTTTGCAAAAACTAATAATGTTAATCAGGAAGAGTCTAGGTTATTAAGCAATGATGGGATTGTCTCTGCAGATTCTGGGGAGTCACTCTTCAATTCTCTTGCAGTCCCCAATGTGGACAATTTGACCAAAAATGCAGTCTCCCCTTCAACTTCATTGAATGACAATACTGAGTCCCATTTAGCATCAGTGTTCCCAAGGTCTCCACCTCATTACCAAGAGGATATTTTACACCGGCGACGCAATCTAGAGGAAGAATTTTTGCAGCTATCGGCTGAATCTCTCTCAGTTGCTTCCACTGACAGCAATACAAGTTATAGCGAAGATGAGTCTACAAAAGTTGGCCCTTCCACGACTCACATTGAACAATCGTTTCCTGATAATTCATCAGAAATGAATCGTTATGGTTTTATTGTTGCACCATACAGATTCAACTCTGGTGATGCTTATCATGATAACATTTTGTTGAAGAAGTTAAATGGGACACGTACATCAAGCATCTGTGCCGAAGGAAATACTGTCAGCACTGATGGCAGAGAGTTAGAAATATCCGCTCTGTGTAATGATGTGAGTTCAGGGTTTAACAAGGAGAAAAATGATTGGTTAGACAAGACAAAAAGAAGAAAACCACCCAGGAGAAGAATGATATCCTTACCAGAGGAGGATGATGTGCAAGGAGACACAGACTCATCAAAGAAGTCAAGTGACCTTGTGGAGACCTATCAAAGTGATGTTGTACATGAAGGCTAAGAAGTCTGGTGACTTAGTGAGCTGTAGGAATTGACTGGCTCAAAATAATTGAGACCGCTTTACCTTATATCTTGGCTTATGTTCCATGACAAATGGTTCCGATTTCAATATATCAGATGTGGAACAGGCAATTTTCATTGGAACTTCCTGAATTCCACCGTCACTCATTGTAAGATTTAATGGGATGCTTAGACACACAGTCTGGTGCTGAAAAAACGATCCAGATATGATGAAAGGTAACATTGATATCTGGTTATTAGTGAATTGTATAAACATCTCATAGCATGAGTTAATTTTCTTCTTTTATGGGCTTTAAATGCTTTCCGTCAGAATCACATGACTATGTTCTAAGAAGCTTACAATGTCATTCTACCATAAGCATATGTTGCAAAGTGACTAGATTATATAACTGAATGGTTCTTTTTGGTATTCAAATTTGTTATATGTTACTATGTTCCTCTGCTGTCCATATGTAGGAAATTGCATATGGTGGAGCAGCAATAAATAGGTTGTACATGGATGAGGTTAGCATTCTTGTGCTATGAGCTTTTACCTAGAGATATATTTTGGTGCTGCTTCTAATTGTGTATAAGATATTATATACTGATGTTTGTTGCGTTAATGAAATTATAACCTTTAGATTTATGAGAATTTCCTCAGAAAATGCAGCCTATACTCTAGTATTGAAATGATAAAACAACAGAACCTCTATGAATGTTACACTTATATCCTCTGGTGTTATTTAGAAATCTAACAATATTCAATCTGGTTTTTGTGAGTTGCTAAAATGGTCAACACATGCTTATATGTATTTCCATGCCTCTTTTTTTCTCATATTTAACAATATGTAAACCTGATAATCATTAACCGTTCCTGGTATCAGATAATTTTTGTAGTTTTCGTTTATTTAATGTGATTAAATGGTAAACGGGACTGGGTAGAACACGTTCTCAAAAGCTTGCTCAAAGGGAAAGAGTGGTGCACAACCCACACTTATACACAATAACAACCTAGTATCTAATCGATACGAGACAAAATATGACTTCTGACATTGTATGTCTTAGCTAGCTTAGTGAAGTGTAATATGCAGATGCAAATGTGAGATCTACTGGATGTTTAAGCGTTCCCTTGCCATGTTTCTATTTGTCACGATGTAATATGGAGGCTTAAAGTGTAATAAGATATCTTTGTTAATGTGATTTTTAATATCAAGAAAAATTCACATTCGAGAAAGTATTCACATTTTTTTTTCAAGATTGCTATTTGTATAAAAATGTGTGTGTACAAATATATATTATACGTGTACAAATATATATTATACTCCACATGTATAATATAAGGATATGAATGACCAAAGTGTGAAAAGAAAAATTTAATGGGAATTTTCTTCACATCTCACTTGACTATATGATTGTGATTTTAGTTTGAGCTACTGACAAAGTTGATGTGTGGGGTGGAAAGCCATTTATATGGTTTAATATGTTAGATACTAATGGTCATTAATTCTTTTATACATTTCTTTTTTCTTTCTCGAGCCTCCATTTTCATTTTTATGTATAGAGATTAGTCATCACAAACCATGAAAAGATAAATTTAGTGGGAATGTCCTTCATATCTCATTTGATAGTGAGCTTGTGATTTTTAGTTTGTGTTAAAGAAAAAAATTGATATTTGTATGAGAAGTCATTTATATTATTTTAATATGTTAAAACCACAAAAGACATCAAGGGGTTGATTGGATATAAGTTACTTTGGATTTGATTCGATTTGTTGGAATTTTAAGAAACTTGATAGAGTTAGGTTTGGATGGAATTTTGAAGTTGTATTTAAATAATATTTTGAATATGATGATTGAAGTTAATTTGATGTAAAAGCAGGATATAGGTGATTGGTTATGATGAGTAGTTAAAATATATGAGTTGATGAATAGTGAATTAAGGTTGATGTGATGTGTAAGGATGATTGATGTGTATTATTTATCTTATTGAGAATTTTCTGGGTTGTTGATATCAGTTTTACTTCATTTTCAGTAGGAAGTTACATCCCCTGCCAACCAATAAATATCATAGTTTCTTGCATTATTTACAGTACATATCAACTTTTATATTTGTGATTGGCTAATGGCTCGGCCCTCCAGTTTATCTTTCGTTTCTTGGTTACTATGCTGTGAAGTTTGAATTAAATGTTGCAAGGATATCTTTCGTTTCTGCAGATCATTCACCGTTGATACATTGGATGGAGCATGTTTCCTGCATTAGCTTCAGAAAGTAGTAACTTTTCGTGCAAGGATATGTTTCAAAAGAGTTTCGGTTTTCTCAAAACAAGAAAGCCCGAGTCGTCAAAAGATTATCCCCTTGATTTCTTAGGCTTGCTGAAAAACATTTGCATGCTCAGGCTACAGTCAAAAGTTGTTTTTTTTTTTTTTTTTTATGTAAATGAGACCATGATTGGTGTATTTTGTATTTTTTGCTATTTCTTTATTTAATTCTTTTAGTGCGTAGGTGACCATTGTTTTGTTGCCTGTAAATGTAAGGTTGATTTGTATTCATTGATTTGTTCTACATGCAATTAGGTGCTTGTGTAGAGTAGTTGTATAGGCATTCAGCTCGAAGTGTATAGATTTATGATGTTTAATATGAATGAGTAGCAATGTCGAGCTGAAATTTTGTATACCTACTTTCAACTTTAAGGGCAAAATCATAAGTTGTATGCCGTTTATGTACTTGCTAAGGAAACGAGTTTATCTGTGTATTCAATATTCATGCATATTTCTTCGAATAGCATAACTATTACCCAAAATTTATCGACCGGGCAATTTTGTTCGAGACTTGATGCTGGTTGGAATCCAGATGACTAAATTGTACTGCCAATGGAAGTAAAAGACCATGATGTAATCCTAGTCCTATAACAAGAACATCGTTATAGTTTGGCTATCAATTCTCAAATGCCTTCTCTCGTGGTACAAGTACAACATCCGTGGTTGTAGAAGTGTTGGCTAAGGAAATTATACTGAAATTTTTTAAATAAAAATTTGTGAGATAGATTCTTTTTTTTTTTATTTTAATTTCGAATGCATGTTAAAAGATTATATTGTTTTATATATCTAAAATAAGATTTTTCATTTGTACTATTTGCCCGTTTAATATTATAAATAAATTTTTAATCCGTACGTAATGATTTATAAATGACGTTTTTGAATTGATATATGGTTTTATTAATTTTTAATCAGTATTAATAGACTATATAATTATATAATAAAGAAAAATAAAACTATTTATTTATTTTGTATATGCATAAATATCAAATATAAACTCATCAAAATGTGATTAATTTGATATATTATATATGAAAACTTGATAACAAATACAAAAATTCTTAACTTTACATATATTTATAATTTAAGTTAGTTGAGTGTTTCGTATTTTTAAAACTAATGATGTATACAGATAGAATTCATATCTACATATATTATTTTTCAATTGATATTGATATTTAATGTAATTTTTATTACAAAGGTAAATATACATATTATTTATATATGCATTATGAATGTCAAATCGAACCACGTTATGGGATGGTTAATTCGTATATATCATATATAAAAATTATTAACTTTTAAAATTTATTTGTAATTAATTAGGTTGATCAAGTGTTTTATAATTTTAGAAGTCTCATCTAGATCTACTTGTACTACCCCAAAGGCCCAAACTATTAAGAATATGTTTGGTAAAACTAGCTTATAAGTATGTTTGGTAAGCACCATAAGCTAGTCTATTGTTTATTTGGTTAGCTTATAAGCTTTTTGTATACAAATAAGCTTGGTTTGGTAGGACGAGCTTTTCTAAAAACCTCAAACTTATCTCATAAGCTCATTTGACTAACATTTCAAATAAGCATGTTGATTTTTTTTTTCAACTGGCTTATCAACTAATTTTCTGAACACTTTTATCGTATCAGCTAGTTTTTCATCCATAAGTCATGAGCTATCAGCTATAAGCTCGAAATTTACTTATAAGCTATCAGCTAGTTTTAAAACTCAAAACCGAGCATTACAATCGACATGCTCAGCAGTCCTCGGAATGAAACCTCAACGCTCTTGTTGATTGCCTTGAAACTAGGTCGGTTGGAATGATAGGGCTTGAGGAGGCATAAATGCTTGAGGTCGTGCCGGTGGTGGTCCATAGTTCGCCTTTCGATCCCTCAATGAGAAATTATGATGATTCATCCACCCGGGGTTATAGGAATTCGAATAGGGTTCATTTGACCCTGGAGAGGATACTCTTGTAAAGCATTCACGTCATACGTGACTCTTTCATAGTTTGGATCATAAGTCGGCTCCACAAATCCCAGACTTTGATCATTTTCTTGATATTAAGAAAAAAACTACAAAACCCACATATCAACCCTAATAATACTCAACATCTTGTGTAACAATTATGATTTTCCATTTACTAAAGCGACTTTTAAGAGCATTTCTAATGATTCATGGTTTTCTCTATTTTATTGATATGTGGCCTAATAAATCTTATGTGGCGTTAAAAATGTCTAGAAGCCTTTTTAGGCATAGAATTACTTCTAAACACTCTCTATTTTCTATTATATTATTTATTAAATATCTTTCACATCTCCAACCAATTATAATCATACACATGTTACATTATACTAGAGTTGACAATACTACTAAGACACAATTTTGTAATTTTCTTTCTATGTGTTATACATCTCCAAATGGCCAAACTACCATTTAAAATGTTCTAAGAGTCATTTATTTAACATACTAACTATTTTTCAATTTTGGGACAAAAATAAATGGTGGACAAGTTCCCTACAGTTACAAATTATTTGGGGCCTCAAAATTAGTTGGTAAAGGAAATTATTTTTTTCTTACATATGTATCCAATATATTTATATAAAGGAAATTATTTTTCTTATTAGACACGGCCAGTTATTATTATTATTATTATTATTATTATTATTATTATTATTATTATTATTATTATTATTATTATTATTATTATTATTATTATTATTATTATTATTATTTTAAAATCACTCTCAACCTTTTAAAAATACCTATTTTGTTACTGATCACACAAAGATCCCGCACAACGGTAAGTTTGTAACTAACTCTTACATAAAAACCAACAACCAAATCAAACTCTCAAATTCATTACAATCTGAAAAAAAAAAAAAAAACATCAGAAGAACAAATAAAAGAGAGGATAAAAACAAAAAAATATCCCTTTTTCATTTGTTCAACCAAAAACCATGTCGATTAAATATTCCAAGTTGACCCTCTTATTGTTGGTGGTCGTCATATGCTCGTCGGCCTCCGTGAGCGGTTCGACGCAGTGCGTGGAGAAGCTGCTGCCTTGCCAGCCGTACCTCAAGGGATCGGTTCCAGTGGCCCCATCGTGCTGCGTGCCGCTGAGGCAGATCGTGGCCGACGAGGCCGAGTGCCTCTGCGCGGTCTTCAACAACCAGGAACTTCTGCAGAGCCTCAACGTCACCCGACAAGATGGTCTCAATCTCGCCAAGTCATGTGGGGCTAGCTCAGATCCGTCCATGTGCGACAAAATCGGTACGTCCCGTTTATGGGATTTCGTTTGACTCGTGCTCCGTTTCATATTTTAATCTCTGTTGTTTTATTTGTTTGGGACTATACATCTATTTAGATGACAGGCATTCTTAGTCGAATTTTCGCTTTATTCGTTTGCAGCGGCGGCTACACCCTCGGCCTCGACTTTACCATCTACTCCGGCATTGCCCTCAACCAACAACAGTAAGTTTTCAACAACGTAATAAGTGTAATTTGTTTATTCATAGTTAGTAATCGATTGGCGTTTGAATCTCTCGATCAGTTTCAACAACGACGAGTCCACCGCCTCCTGAAAGGAATGCAGCTTCTGTGATATCATATGTTGGGTGTGTTCAGAGCCTGGCAGCTATTTTCAGTTTCATTCTTTATGCATTATAAATAAGAAGGATTTTTCTGATGATCCATTTTGAAGGGATGAGACTTAATTTATATTTGCA